CGTACACTTCGTCAAAAAATCCGGAAAAAATCCAAAAAAAATCCATGAAATCCTCAAAATCCGTTGAATCCATCAAAATCCAAAAAATCCTTTAAAAACCACAGAAATCCTTCAAAAATCCACAGAAATCCTTCAAAATCCTTAAAAAATCCGCAAATCCACAAAAAATATATGAAGTACTTGGTGTAATTTACTCGTAAAGGTTCTTTGCCACGTTCAAAATGGCGGCCTGACCCACTCTACATTTCCATTTATATACGCTCGAGTATACGCTAAGTGTTTTTAGCCTATTACTACTAAATATGTGTTCTTGTTACAATGACGTTATGTTGTAAAATATAATTACAAGACCATTGTCTATATAAAAAGTTTATATTCACCATTGTCTTTTACTGTTTTTGAAAGAATAATGAACTTGTTTGAATTTTAAACAAAATGACTGCATGCACAGCCTTTGTTAGTTTCTGAAGGCTATGGTCCTAGTCCCAGTCCTCTGCTCGACCCTGACGTCCTGGCATAACGTTGACGTTGTAGACGTCGTACAACTTAAGATTATTTGTTCAAATTCAAAACGTTACCTAGCTCTATAACTCTATAGTTAAAAAAAAATCCAGAAAAAATCCGGAAAATCCATACAAATCCGGAAAATCCAACAGATTTTCAAAAATCCAGAAAAAATCCGAACAAATCCGGAAAGTCCGAACAAATCCGGAAAATCCAACAGATTTTCTCTTCAAAAATCCGCTAAAAAATCCGGGGAAAATCCGCTAAATCCGCTAAAAAATCCGCGGATTTTTACAAATCCGAAAATCCCGTACGCTTTTTTGGAGTGAAATGCCCCTCGCTCATATATATTGTTGCCGAAATATTCACAGACTTTCCTTCAAGTTGCTGCATGCAGAAAAGGGTGAGTGTTCCTCTTTCTTTAATATATATAAACTAGTTACATTTTTGTGCTGTATTTTTTAAAATGACACTGGGCAAACAGTTTTGAATGTTGGGAATATCTAAATCAAAAATAGACAGTTTGCTGCTGGCTGTCAGTCTCGGCTCAATTTGCATGGCTCGACATTTACGGCAGTTTTGGCGTTTTATATCAGCTTCATATCTATATTATATATAAGTCCATCAAGTTAAAACAAAACTCGATATTTTTCTGGAATTTAACATTCATATTCGTTCAAATAATTCATAGTTTATATCGTAAACGTTTGGACATTAGTCATAACATTCTGTGTTTGTGACAATATACACAATTTGTGCTTAGTTTGAAACAATATTGTGTATAATAATTTTAAAAGTTTATTGCCATTGGCCATGCACTGACAAGTTTATCCTCGCATTGACTAAAAGCACTGCAAAAATACTAAAGCTACTAAATACTTACCATAATGTACAACGAAGAATATTTCTTGTACAGTTTTTTGTTTCTTGCTGGTCCATTTTCAAGCCAGGGAAACTGTTGCGAAAAAAACTCGTCTTGTTGTTTATCGACTTCGACACATAATTTATATATACATAGTCAATTTACAAATTCATTTCTCGCTTGTTTTACGAAGATTGAACTGATATTTTTTCATGGTATAAGTATTAAATTTTTACTTACCAGAGCGGTGTGTTCTTTCTTTTTATTTTACATTATTGTGTTCTTATGTTTTTCTATTTTAAATTCGCAACTCGCGCTCGGATATGTGCTTTTCAATGCTGCCCTCTGTGTCTATATAGACAAAAAGTTGACTGGAAAGCTTTCTGAATTTAAATTTTCCCGCTCCCCCCTGTCACCTCTGTCAATGATTTTTCTTCGGAATTTGCCGATTTTTCAACAGCCAATAAGCAATAAGCCGATGATTTTTCCGATGATGACGTTTGTCGTGCATTTTGCATCCCGCCTATCGACAAAATAATTTCGATAAAAACCCACTTTTTATCCATGAAATTTAAATACTTCTAAACTGTTTTCAACTCTAAAAAGTTTGAATAAAGTTAGAAAAAATATCCAAGGTGTTTTGCATCTACTTTTTTTTCAGAAAGTAGCGGTTTTTGTTGTTGTTTGAAGCGACCGTAATAGTGTGTGTAACTGTTTTTGTAAAAGAGTTGCCAGCCTTAGGATATTATACTATATGAAAATACAATGACGTAAAATGACGTAAACATCGGAATCTGCATATATAATGAGCTACACAATAAATCGCATGGTGGCAAAGTCAGGCGAACTTTATACGTATTTTTAAGCGTTTAAAGCATTTTTACACCATTTGCTGGGCTGCCTATGATTGAAACGAGACATTTGCAACCATGCCAACTTTTTGTTCAATTCCTGGTTGCCAAAAATCTACTGAAAGAAAGGACCTGTCCTCACATGCGTAAGGCTCGTATAATCTCTTTTTTTTTAATAATTTAACGCAATGCTGTATTGCTGTATTGAATGCGTAAATTTGTGAATTCATGAAATTTATTGGCAAGCAACATACAATACAATGTTAGTGTACTACAGTGCAAAAGCAGAACAAAATTTTAAAATGTTGACAAGCTTGTGGAGCTGTTGTTGAGCAAGTATTTATTTTCATGCAAGTTGATGGATGTGATGCAGTGATGAAATCTTATCGATATCCTAACAGATAAGGCCACATAAAAAAATTACTTGTTTAGCGTCCACCCAGTTTAATTTTTCTAGGTCGGGCGGACGGATTTTTTTTTTTTTTTTTCGTAAAATGCAACACAAAATTCTGCTAAATGCAGGAAATCCAGTATATTACCACAGTCAAAACTCACTTTAATTCTTTCAAAATCCGTTCATGTTTTTTAACTTCCCGTTCATGTTTTTAATCAAACAGAAAATTACCGTTTGGCGGTCACGCGCGAACACTTTAGCTGCGAACAGGCATATTCTGGGAAGGAAACTTTGTGTAAACGTATTACATAGCTCCCAGAAGAATAAAATCACCATTTTTTCAAGTAAAACGGTCTTTTTTATAGAGAGTTTTTCCACTAAACTCGGACAAATTTAAAAAAAAAATTTAAAAAAATTGGAGGTCTGGGACTTTTATGAGGTCGGGCGGGGACGCTAAACAAGTAATTTTTTTTATGTGGCCTAATGCTTAATGTTAAAAAAATTCAAATGAGAATTTTAACAATGTGATAAAGATACGACTAGCTTTAAATGTACAAAGCCTTTCACTCATTGTATTGTCTTTATTGTGGACTAAACCATGTGTTGTCTAGTGTGGCGTTGTTTATAATAATTGTAAGTTATAGGTATCGTATTGAACAGTGTATTAACTAGACACTAAAAACAATTGTTCATTTACTTCAAAGCTTTCCAGATGAGAAGAGATTCCCTGAATTGCACAGCATATGGGTGAAGAATATAAGCAAACTTATGCCAGACAGAGTGAAGTTTGTTTCTATGAAAAATAGTCGTTTGTGTTCAAAGCATTTTAGTGCCGATATCTTTGAGGAGGATTACAGCCAGAGACCAGTGTTAAAGCCATATGCTGTACCAACAATCTTTAATGATTGCTTTGGTCAGCTTGGTTGTGATCTTTACAGTTTATTATCAGTACAATTAATGGCCATACTGTACATGAGGGGTAATTAACCCATTAAGCGCCAGTGCTCTCCCCTTGACGAGTAAAATTGTCTGGCGTTAGACAGAGTAAAATACTAAAATAGGGTACTTCGCCACTCAATGGGTTAAATTTATTCCTTAATTTTTCTGCTAACAACTTTAAGTTATTTGTACACATTTTGGTCTGTTTAGCTAAGCCAAGATTGCTACATTTACATTTATTTTGACCATTTGGGTTAGTGTACAAATTAGGCTAGCATAATTACTGTAGGTGCTGACCATCAAGTAGGGATTGACATGCATAGAATTGGTTGAGCAGTTTATTTAATTAAATTGGTGTTGTATGTGTTTAAAAATAAAGAATAAGTTTTGTTGTGATTTGAAATTGAATATATTATTTATTCTTATTACTAAATGTAATTATATAATTATCTTGGAAAATCTTTTTTTGAATAAAATATTTTTTTTAATAATTCTTCACTGTCGTTCCAATTGAAGTGTTCCTCAAATATTGATTCAATACATTACCTTGGGCTAACCAATTCATTTGATTAAGTTCCTCAAGATATTCATACACTTCCTAGTATAATTGTAAACTTCCTGTTAAATGGTTTGAATGCACCAATCACCTTTGTTGTTTGTGCAACTAACCAATCATAAATAGAAAGGAAGTGACCAGAAATGATTAAATACTTGGAATTGGCTCTTTCACAGGAAGTGTATGAATATCTGGAGGAACGTGATGAAATGAGATGCTTGTGTGATGTTACTCTGAGTGTATATCCACACCGGGCAGGCTTGAAAAATATGCCTGGCCACAGTGGGATTTGAACCTACGACCTTTGGAATACTAGCCCAAATGGCAATGCTCTGTCAACTGAGCTACACGGTCAGGTCGGTTTGAATCCCAATGTGGCTTGGCATATTTTTCAAGCTTGCCCGGTGTGGATATGCACTCAGAGTAACATCACACAAGCATCATATTCACAAATATCATGGTTATTAGATTACACTGATATCGAAGGAACTAGACTCAGTTCCGAAATATCGCATACTCGAACTGCCCCGACTGTATAGCTCAGTTGGCAGAGCATTGGGCCAGTATTCCAAAGGTTGTAGGTTCAAATCCCACTGTGGCCAGGCATATTTTTCAAGCCTGCCCAGTGTGGATATCCACTCAGAGTACGTAACATCACACAAGCATCTTATTCACCTGAGTACATGTATTACACCAACACAGCAAATATCTTGATGGAATGAATTGGTCAGCCCGAGGTAATGTATTGAATCAATATTTGAGGAACACTTAAAAATAAGGTATGAATCGCATAAAATGCAGATATCAAAATCAAACATTGTAACTCGAGCATAAAAATGTGCATATTTGTTTTAAAAGGTGATTGTTCCTTGAATGTTCAATGAAATAGTGCCATTGCCTTTTACAAGGAAGATCATTATAAAGAAATACACTTGACTTTCTTCATTGCCATCTGGTACTTAGTACAGATATCCCATATTTTCTTGATAAATTCATACCTGAAAGCGGAATACATACAGGTGTAAAAAACTTTAATGGTGATATAAGTGCTTTATATTCCAAAGAGTTGCTTTTCCCCACAATTTACTAATAGAATAAACTGGTATTAAAATCTCTAAAAAAACCTTTGTCACTCAGGGAAATTTATAGCAGTACAGTTTTCAACAAGCTATATTTGCTTAATTTTACTTGCTGGGGATTGTTATAATACTCGTGTTTTAAAGAATAATCTTGATAGTCAGTTCAGTTGCAACCAATGGTTGCAATACAAATCACAATACAACAAGAATTGATAAATCATTTCAATGACTTACATGCTTTGTTCTTGTGGCCGTCAAGCTCCATTCATGTCTTTTTTTATTAATGGCTTTCGGTCTTTATTGATTTACACGCGCAGTTAGAATAATACTGTATTTTCAAAAGGACGAAAATCAAAAATATACTCTGTCGATCAACTAATATAAACATACAAAATCACTGTAAAATCCAGGGGGGGTTGAACTTTGTCGCCCACGAACATTCGAGCCACGGGTCAGTGGAAACCCCCATGAAAATAGGTCGATTGTGACGTCAAATCCGCCATGTTTTTGGCCACACACTTTCGTCGAGAGCACGATCTCCAGATATATAAGTATAGCTCAGTGGGAAGCTCCCTGAAATGCATAACGTCACAGAATAAAGACATACAGAAGTGGGTAATCGTTCCATGTTTCGCGCACCAATATAGTAAACGTTATGTAATGGATATTATAGTGTACTGAAAAGTTCACTAGATACCTCCATGCACATATAACACACCCTAACCCTAACCTTAAACCTAACCCCTAACCCTAACCTCGAACCCTAATACCTAACCCCTAACCTATATTGGTGTGCGAAACATGGAATGATAACCCAGAAGGGTAACTTCCATTACAAAACCGTAAGGCGCTTTTTTACCGAAATAGCTGGCGGCCATGTTCTTAGCAAGTGCCCTAAAGAGAGGCATTCACCCCCCTGGAATATTAAATTTTCAATGTTTTCAGGGGGGTGACTGCCTCTCTTTAGGGCACTTGCTAAGAACATGGCGGACTGAAAAAATCCCTTTAATACGCACTTTTAATAAGAAGATACACTTCTGTATGTCTTTATTCTGTGGTAACGTGCAACGTCTTGCAATGTTTTGAAATGACCAAATGGGAACGAATGAGCCAGTTATATTAGAACTCTAGTTCTATTAACCGTGATTAGAAACACACAAGTGTTTCGCCTATGGGTTAAACTTTTAATTTCGACGCTCGAATAGTCGTTATTGTCATAATAAATGGTTTTAGGCACGGAAAACATTACAATATTTCGTCGAGTTTGAAGTTATTTAATACGGTTGACCTTTTAGTTTGGCAACAGCCAAACGGCTGGTAAGTACTTAGTCTTGCAGGGATATAGCATAGTCACTGGATCCGTATATTATATATTTTTAACCATTTTAAATTTTAAAAAATTATTTGCTAACCTGAAAACAATTTGTGGGAGTTTTTTCATTGTTTTTAATCCTGTGAAGGCTATAAAAAGCGACAACTTGCCGTTTTCTCGTTTGCAAAACATCGTAAATTCAGTTTGGCCGCCATTTTGTTTTTCTCTACTAGCGGGATATGAGCTAATATCCTGCTAGTAGAGAACCAATCAGATTGCAGAATACCTCATATCCAGACCTTGTGTATATAATGGACCATTACGGTGCACCACAACCGCGTTGGCATGCTGTTAAATATCCTTTACCCAACTTAACCCACCTTACAACGACTTTAATTAACATACTTTAGGCATGCTTTACCAGACTTAGACCAACTTAGGCCGGATTACAACTGCTTTGATATGCTGTTCAACTTCTTTTACCCGACTTAACCCACCTTACAAGGACTTTGACATACTTTAACCATGCTTTACCCTACTTAGACCGACTTATGCCGGATTACAACTGCTTTGGCATGCTTTGAACATCCTTTACCCCACTTAACCCACCTTACAATAACTTTGATATACTTTAACCATGCTTTACCCTACTTAGACCGACTTAGGCTGGATTACAACTGCGTTGGCATGCTTTTGACGTCCGTCACCCAACTTAACCCTCCTTACAATGACTTTGACATACTTTAACCATGCTGTACCCCACTTAAACCGACTTATGCCGGATTACAAGTGCGTTGGCATGCTTTGAACTTCCTTTACCCACTTAACCCACCTTACAACGACTTTGACATACTTTAACCATGCTTTACCCTACTTAGACCGACTTATGCCGGATTACAACTGCTTTGGCATGCTGTTGAACTCCATTAACCCGACTTAACCCACCTTACAACGACTTTGGCATACTTTAGCCATGCTTTAACCGACTTAGGCCAACTAGGGCAGGATTACAACTGCTTTGGCATGCCGTTCAACTCACTTTACACGACTTAACCCACCTTACAACGACTTTGACATACTTTAGGCAGCCTTTACCCGACTTAGGCCAACTTAGGCAGGATTACAACTGCTTTGGCATGCTTTCAACTCCATTAACCCGACTAAACCCACCTTACAGCGACTTTGGCATACTTTAGCCATGCTTTACCAGACTTAGGCCAACTAGGGCAGGATTACAACTGCTTTGGCATGCTGTTCAACTCACTTTACCCGACTTAATTTAACCCGCCTTACAACGACTTTGACATACTTTAACCATGCTTTACCCGACTTGGGCCAAGGGATATATAACGATGCTTTTTTCTCCTATATCCACGACCCTGATTTTGAAATAAAATACGACTTTGAGAGTAATGCGTTGCAGGGGCGTAAGAACCCGTTGGGGGGGGGGGGGGGGGGGCCCCCCCA